CACCTAAAATTTGGGGTTTGGATTGGAGGAAGTTTCCCCCAAATTTGGATCCAGAATTGACCCCTGAAAGAAAAATATGTGGGGGTGGAGAATTAACCCCTGAAACCATAATTTCTGGAGGCAGATTAGGAGGGCTCCCCAAATTTTGGACCCAGAACTGACCCCTTAGAAAGAAAAATTGGGGTGGTTGAATTAGGGGAAATTTCCCCCATATTTGGCTCCAGAAATGACTCCTTTAAATTCTTAAGGGGAGGGAGGTAGATAAGGAGAAAGTTCCCTCCAAATTGGAGTGGGGGGGGATCTGGATTATTCCTCACCCATGTTCCCTTAAACCCCATTTTTATGGCCCTGATCCTGCCAGGTGCATCCCTATTGGCAGGAGGAGGTGGGGGTGGGTCTTTTTGGAGAGGGATTGGATTTTCCAGCGGGGTCTGGAACTCTGCCCCTTTTATAGCTCTGGTTCTGCTGGGGGCACCCCACATTTTCAGGGTGTTCAGATCTGGGTTGCTGAGATGGCATTTGGATCCTCTCTATATTTTGAGGGTCATGTTAATATCTGGGGTTCTGGCCCCACACCCCAATCAAGCCCAGCCAGGAGGAAGAGACAGACCGTTGAGTAGCCATATGTGGGGAAGGACTAGGATGGGCCAATAGGCCTTGTCTGGCTGTGGAGTCTGCAGGTCTGGCATGCACCTGGGGACCCTGGACGGGGTGGGGATGGGGAATCAGCTTCATTTCCCCATCCCTTCCTGGGATGCTGCTGAAGGCTCTTGGAGGGGTTAATGAGCCTCAGGGGGGGGGAGATGAGCTGGGAGGGGTTACAGACATTGTCCCCTCCTCCACCACTACCACCACCAGGCCTGTGCAGAGGACTAGGGAATGGGAATACAGATCTATACCCACTGAGCCCCTCTGCTCCGGGGGAGAGGATAGGGCCAGCTACAGATCTCCACCCCCCAGGATATGGGCGGACCTCAGGGAGTCTGCTGGATGGATCTGGGGGTGGGGAACCATAGCTCAGTCCACAAAGCGACGTGTTTTGCACCCCTGCTGCCATGTGGCGTTCTTGACGTGGCTGCATTTTGCGGGGCACTAGATGGGTGTTGTGCCATGGTGGTTTTTATCGCCAGGCTGCCTGGGTTGCAGTCATGATGCAGCCACATTAAAGGGGGAGCAGCCTGACAGTGATCCTCAAAAGAGGGACACGCCCCCGACCTGGCAGGACTCCTCTTTAACCCAGTCCCTAGCTCAGCTGCGCCCCACCACCCATTCTCAATGGGATTGATTTTCCGGTCGCGTTTGGTCACAGCCGCCAAGCCGTTTGTCCCTCTAGCCGCCCTGTACATGCCACCTCCCATTGGCCGGATGGGGGTCACATGATCGCTCCCCGCAGGATGCAATATGGCGCCGCCCATGTAGCTGCTCCTGGAAGTCGTGGAGGGAAGGCTGAGCTTGCTGCGTTTTCTGGGTGAGGGAAGCCTGGGGTGTTAATTAGGGGAAGGGGATACTCTGCCCCTCACCCCAGGGAGGGCCCCGTGGGCTCAGGATTCATTTAGCTTTTTTTGGGAGGGCATCTCAAATTTCAGCTCTCAAATCCTCAGTCTGGGGGACATTTGGGGATTATTCTCCCCTTTCCTCCTCCTCTGAGTTATCTTGCACGAGGCTCAAAACCTGGCATCGGCTCCTTAAACGGAATCACCCTCCCATTCCTCCCCCACGTTAATTTTGAGGGATTGAGGCCCTCTGGTCCTTCAAGCAGTTTGAGCTGTCTCCCAGAAAACGTCAGGCTGGGGGGGAGGGATGTCTTGCAGTTTCATTGTAAGTCTCATGATACTTGGTGGCTTGTCCGTCTCCTCTCCCTCCCCCCCCCCCCAAACCTCGGCTCCTTGTCTCATGTGACTACATGAGAATCTCAAGCTTTTGTTTAAAGAAAAAATAACCATCTACCCTTTATTAGGGTTGCTACCTCTGAGGTACACACAAAAAAACTCCAAACCCACAGCCCACCCTGTGGTATCTGAACTGTTTCAGCTGGGAAGCTACCGCACAAAAAGGGACGATCCTGGGGAAAACCTAGACTGGTGACAACCCTAGTCCTTGAGTTTGTGGTGAAAAGCTTGAAGATGTGAACCCCAATGGCACCCGTGCCAGAAATCAAATAAAAAGAACCCCATGTGTTATTTCAAAGAAATCTGATGACTTTAAGCCAACCTTGTAACTTTTTAAATTGCGATGACTAATTTTTGGATGCGTGGGGCTGACAATGCTGTTGTATTGCAGTAACACCTAGGAGTCCAAGCCATGGAGCAGGGTCCTGTTTTGCGAGGCGCTGTATGGACACAAAACAAAAAGATGTCCTGTCCTACAGAGCTCATGAGCTAAGGGTTTGTCTCTACACTGCTTTTGCAATGATTTTTGTTTTCTACGTAGGTAGTTAAATCATTGCCACACCTTATTGCGGCTGTGGTTTTAGTAGTATAAAGATGTGCTGGTAAATTTACCAAATCAAGTTCTGCTGATCTCAAAACCTTTATGGGGTAGGGCTGCATCCACTCCAGATTGTTGCAGCAATTTAACTAGATCAGTTTTCCCACAAAATGCAGATAATAGCACTTCCTTCCCTCACAGTGATTGTAAGTAGAAAGACATTAAAGATTGTGCAGTGCTTGGGTACTACAGGAATGAGAGCTACAGAAGTAGCATTTGCATGCTCATTGGCAAAGCCACTTCGTTGTCCTAATTCAGATTCCTCCTTAACTCTCCTTTGCCATGAGGGCTACAAAAAAACTTGGCAATGGCTGATGTACAGAGACCGCTGCCCATCACACTCACTGATATGGTTTCCTTTTGCTCCCCTGTCTATAGCCATCTGTTACCTCTTCTTGTATTTAGATTGCAGGCGCTTTGGGGCAAGGACTGTCTTTGTTCTGGGGCTGAACACCGTGAGGCTGTGGCTTGTGACTTTTAGGTGCGACTGTAATACACCTAATAACATACGTGCAGTACCACAATACAAACTGTAGTAAGAGCGTAGTTTATAAAGTATTTGGGGATCCTTCAGGGACTATTTCTCTCTTGTATTCTGGAGACAGCTGTGACACAAGATGTTCTGATGAAGGCTGAGTTCGCTCTACTGGCTTGGTTTATGAGACGCTGCATCCTGCAGCTGGGCAGAACTGTAACAAAACAGCTGGTTGGAAGGGTCCGGAGATTCCCGCCACCCAAAGATCTGCCAGCCAGAAAGCTCTGTCCTTCCAAGCACATGGAGGGGCAATGCCCACAGGAAGCCAATGGCTCCCATCCAGAGGAGCGGCTGCCTACATCTGACCTAGCGATGGATGCTGGGAGCTGCGCTGGCCCCGTGAAAACTGGGGAGACGGTGATTGCGGAGGGGAAAGCGAAGATCATCTTCCCTAGTGCCAACGAAGTGTTCTACAATCCCGTGCAAGAGTTTAACCGAGATCTGACGTAAGTACAAGTAAGAGGAGGGCCTGGAGCTGTTTATCTTAGGTACTTATCTGGCCCCCATCACGGTAATATATGAGCACTTTGCAACCCTCCTGTGAGGCTGGGCAGGGCTATTATCCCATTGTACAGATGGGGAAATCGAGACCCAGGTTCACACAGGCAGTCTGTGGCAGAGCACGGAATTGAACCCAGGTCTCCAAAACACCACCGTTCTTCTCCTATTAGACCATACCTCTCTAGTGCCAAGCACCTGCTATGAGGGAGGGGGGGGCCTTAACGTGTCTCCAATCAGGGCCCCCCAAATCCAATCACTTTTGAAATCAGGGCTAACAAGACAATAGAGAGAATTGCTTGGAAAAACTGCGCAGGAGCATGAGTCCGCCAGGGGCCGTGACCTAGATCTGAGCCTTAATGGGCACTAAGGCCTGTGTGTGTCTCTCTCTCTCTCTGACCTTCCGCCTCAGGTGTGCCGTGATCACAGAATTCATTCGCCTTCAGCTTTCGGCCAAGGGGATTCAGAGTAAGTGGAAATGTCTGTCTGTCTCTCTCTAATATCCCCCGCCCAATGCAGTGAGCAGGATGGTTAAATTCGTACGACCCTCACTAGCACCCTAGCTTTCAAAGCCAGTCGGGACCCCTGTGACCCTCTGGCCTGCTGTCCCACTCCTGCCTTGAGCCCAGTGCATCAGGACCAGGGGATGCCAGGTGCTCGGCTCTGGTTCTCAGTTATTCCCTTTCTGCGCTGCTTGCGGGTGGGAATTTTAAGCTGCTTCTGTGATCTCCCTATTTGAGCTCCACAGGGGCCTCCTTAGCCCGAAACTGAAGCTACGCTGCTTCCTATCGCCCCTGGGATGCAGGGACTAGCCAGAGTACAGGACACTGGCATAGCGGGCAGATCGGGGTGTGGCCAGAGGCTGGGAACAGGGATAGTTCAGGGCCTTCATGTTAGCGCCTCAACCTGGGAGGGCCCCCAGCACAGAGGGGCATCCCGTCCTCCCCCGCCCCAAAACTGCAAGGCCTCTTTGCGCACCAGAGCTAAAGGCCCACCCAGAGATGCTGCCCAGTCCCCTTAACACCCAGATCTGTGGGGGTGCTAGAGTGGGAAGGGGGGGACGGATGACACCCTCGCATCTGCCCCCACCGCTCGCTCTGTCTCTTGCAGTTGCCGTCCCAGGAGAGGAGAAGGTCGAGAAGGTGGTTGTGGATCTTTCCGAAGGGGAGGAGGCTGGGTCGGAACCAGCGCCCGACGAGGAGGGAGCAACGCGGGCGGTGGCGGCAGTGGGAGAAGTGTGCAAGGTGCGTATAAACCTAGCGCTACCTTTCCCGTAGCGCCAGGGCCCCTGTCTTGCCAGGCACTGCCCAGAGAGAGAAACGGTCCCTGCCTCCAGGAGTTCACGGGCCAAAGAGACCAGCTGATCTCTCTTTCGGTAGGATGGGTGGGTTCCCCTAAATTGCTCCCCCGCAGCTGTGGCCCTCCCACACCCTCTGGGTCTGAAGCAGGGTGTGAGGAGGGGAGATTCTCCCTTGACCAGCCCGCCCTCAGTTCTTAAGGAGGAGCCGAACCCTCTCCCTATTTAAGCTGCAGCTTTATGCTGCCTTCATCCACGGCACTGCAACCCCTGTCTTGGTGCGAGCAAGCTCCGGGCAGGTCTGCGCCGGCCCCTCCAGCTCGGTGGGCGCGCAGGGTCTCGCTAACCTTGCCCGGGAATTGGAGTTTGGCATTCAAGCGGATGGAGAAACTTCCTAATCCCGAGCTGACCACTGGGCTCCTGGCATCGGTATCTGGGCAGGAGTCTCCAATGCGCTGACGCACGTAACCCACGTGATGGCTGGGCCGCGGGCAGAGGTGGATGAGCCTGCTTCAGCCATGGCTAACAGACCTGGGGCTTGTAGCTCGGGCATCAGGGGCTTGTGCTGTTGGATCCAGAGGTCCAGGGTTCGATTCCCCGCTGATCGCTGACCCGGGGCGTGTGGGCTTCGGCTGAGATGTGGTCCCTTCCCCCCGCGCAGGAAGGAGTGCGGATCTTGGAGGCCTTGGCCGCCTCGGGGCTCCGCTCCATCCGCTTTGCCAAGGAGGTGCCTGGCCTCCGGGCTGTAGTGGCCAACGATTTCTCCTCCAAAGCCGTCGAGCTCATGGCGAGGAACGTCCAGTTCAATGGAGTCGGGCACCTGGTGACGTCGAGCTTGGCCGATGCCAGGTAAAGCGGGGGGAGGGGGATGGGCCGCTCTGGCATCACGTGCACTGAGCGGGCTGTTCTCAGCCGCCCACCGGGTTGGCCTGAGCTTCCCGATCCAGCTAGCTCAGAAGCAGGAGGGTGAATGGCCTTGTACCTGGAGGATTTCGGGGGGGAATGGGACTAGTTGGCTCTGGTGAGGTAGCGACTCCTGTACCTAAGGGGGTGGGTGGGTTCACGGGACAGGCCTCCAGCGGCCACGATGGCTAACAACTACCCGCGCCTGTTGGCAGAGAGGTGGGGCGGAAGCTGTTTGGGGCAGAGATTGTCTTTGGGTTCTGTCTCTGTACAACACCAGGGGGCCCTGGGCCACCACTGGGCACTTAGGTGCTACCGTAATACACTTAGTAAATAACAAGCCAGGGAGACTGTGCCCTATAAGGGGGTCTCAGCGCAGGGGCTGGGGGAGGGGCGGTGTGGGTGGGGGGGGGCTTGGTGGATAAGAGACCTCGGATATCCTAAGCTGCGAACTGGCCCCGCAGGCCTCCCTGGCTCTGCACTCGGGACCCCCCTGCTCAGCGTCTGTCCCCGTCCCGCCTGCAGGATGCTGATGTATCAGCAGAAGGCGGAGAAACATCCGTTCGACATCATCGACCTGGATCCGTACGGCAGCCCTGCCACCTTCCTGGATGCCGCCGTGCAGGCGGTGAGTGAAGGAGGTGAGTGGGGCGGGGGGCAGCACCAGGGCTGCTGGCGCTGCGAGCTTCCTCACAGCAGTGACTTGCCACATTTGCAAGCTTCCACGGATGCCTTGGCTGTAGGATCTGATGGGTTAGAGCAGGGTGGCCAGGAATCCGCACTCCTGGTTCCATCTGTCCCAGGGGCAGAGCACTTCCCTCCTCCACCTCTGAAGCGAGGACCCCAGCGGCTGTCCCAGGCTCTGAACTCTGGGTGGAGTCACAGCTAGGCTGGGTTGTCCAATCCTGGAGCAGGTGAGGCCGGTGGCTGGGGGAAGAATCCTCCACTGACCGCCCCCGGGATGTCCCCCTTGCAGGCCTGCTGTGCGTGACCTGCACCGACATGGCGGTGATGGCCGGGAACAGCGGGGAGACGTGTTACAGCAAGTACGGAGCCATGTCCATCAAGGGCAAGTTCTGCCACGAGATGGTGAGTGGGGGCGGGGCCTCTGCCTCCATGCCCCGCCCCATCCACCTGCCTGCCCCCTAGAGCAGTGGGTCTCAAACCTTCACAACCTGAGGACCCTCATTTTGATTTAAAATTTTTCGTGGACCCCCAAGCTGGCTTCTAATTTTCCCCAGGGGTGTGCAGCCCCCACTCCACCCCTTCCCCCAAGGCCCTACCCCTGCCCCTCCTCTTCTCCGCCCCCTCCCCCAAGCACACTCCGTCCCTACTCCTCACCCTCCCTCCCAGCACCTCCTGCACGCTGTTGAACAGCTGTTCCGTGGTAGGCGCTGGGAGGGAGGGCGAGGAGTCGATCAGTGGGGCCAGCGGCCCTGGACGTGACTCGCTGCCCCCCAGTTTGAGAACCGCTGCCCCAGAGGGAAGGGGAGCTCAGCCTGCTCTCTGGCCCATTTAGTCCTGGGGCCCTACTTGCGATGCTGATCCTGCTAGGGCTGGGCTGAGACCTGGCGCACGCGTGTCCCAGCAGAGCTGGGCGTGGGAATCCGGCCCAGTATTGGAAGGGGAGTGTGGCCCCCAGACCCGGGCCGCACCCCAGCGCTCCACCCCTCCCCGCTCCCGCCTCACGGGCAGATCCTTGAGCCCGGCTCTGCAGCGCCCGTTTCCACGCGCAGGCCCTGCGGATCATCTTGCACAGCCTGGACCTGCGGGCCAACTGCTACCAGCGCTACATCGTGCCGCTGCTGTCGGTCAGCGCCGACTTCTACATCCGGGTCTTCGTGCGGGTCTTCACCGGCCAGGCCACCGTGAAAGCCTCTGCTAGGTGAGCCGGGCCCTGCAGGCGGGCGTTTCATCCTGGGGCGCTGGCCAGAACTGGGCCAAGAAGCCCACCCTGCTCTCCACAGCGCCCCCTGCTGGAGAGGCTAGGAGTGGAGTAGCCAGGAGCTCCCCCTCCCCCCAGCCCTGCAGCGCCCCCTGCTGGCATGCCCCCTGCTTGCTGTTCACTGAATCGCCTCCTGTCTCTGCAGCAAACAGGCCCTGGTGTATAACTGTGTGGGCTGCGGGACGCACCACTTCCAGAGACTCGGCAAGATGACCAGCCACGGGAACAAGTAGGGGGCTCTGGGTTCTCCACCTCACCCCGGGACAGGGGCTGACTCCAATTCCTGGCCCTGGAGAGCAACGGGCGGGGACCTGTCCTCGGACCTAGTGCCCACTGGATGGGAGAGTCCAGTGCTGGAGATGCAGAACGGATGGGGGGAGTGGAGAGGGGATGACTGGTCCCTGGAGGGGGGTCCCCAGCTGGAGGGGGGCCTGGCCTGGGAGAGCTGGGGGAGTGGAGCTGGACTAGGAGATCTCAGGTTAGGACAGTGGGGTTGGATGGGCGCTCGGGGGTGTTGGAGGGGGGCTGGGATGGAGGGGCGCAGCTGGGGAAGGGGCTCTACCCCATTAGATCTCTAATCACCGTTCTGATTGATTCAGTTTTAAATACTCGGCTGCCTCTGGCCCCCCAGTGGGCCCCTCCTGTGAGCACTGCCACCAGCGGCACCAGGTGAGCCCCCCGCTCCCCCCGGTGCACCCCGCTCCCGTACGGCTGGGCACGCTGCCCTTACCTGCTGTTCTCTCCCCAGCTGGGTGGCCCCATGTGGGCAGAGCCCCTCCACGACCCAGCTTTTGTCCAGAGGGTCCTGTCGGCCTTGGGGAGCAACCCAGGACGGTTCGGGACACAGGATCGGATCCAGGGCGTGCTCAGCATGGTGACCGAGGTGAGGGGCCAATGGGGCAGCACCCCTGGGGGAACAAGCAGCATAGGGCAGAAGGGCCCTGCTGGGGAATTGGGTTGTCTTTTGGGTCTGGGAGGGTGGGGGCGTGGTCAGTTGGGTTTCCGGGGGCGGGGCCTGTGCTGATCCACCGTGTTCCCCTCTGCCCAGGAGCTGAGCGACGTCCCGTTGTACTACACCCTCGACTGCCTCAGCAGCACCATCCACTGCAACACCCCCTCCCTGCTGCAGTTCAGGTACTCAGGGCGTTACGGGACCGGCCCGCGGGCGCCGGGCGTTGGGCAGAGCCGGGGCAGCCCCTGCCCCAAGGAGCTTCTGCTCCAAACACCCCTGGAGTGGGTGGGGAACTGAGGCACAGAGCCAGGAGGGGACCCGCCCCCAGGAGAGCAGGGGCAGAGAGCCAGACCGGGCCCCCCCCTCCACCGGGACACGCTGCCTCTAAGGCCGGGATTGGAAGCAGCACATTTTCCCCCAGGGGAAGAGCGTCTCTCCTCCTCCCCACTCACCACTAGGGGGTGCTGGGGAGAGCGCCCCCTCCTGAGCTACCCCCACCTCAGAGAGCCCCAGGGCCCGCAGGCAGCAGAGGGTTCCCACTCCAGCATGGCCTGAGGGCTCCCCTCCGGTTCCAGATCCGCCCTCCTCCACGCCGGCTACCGCGTGTCGCTCTCCCACGCCTGCAAGAACGCCATCAAGACGGACGCGCCGCCCTCCGTCCTCTGGGACATCATGAGATGCTGGGTGAGTGCAGTGGGGGGGACTTAGCGTTCCTCATCCCCCCCGCCCCAATCAGGTCACAGCTGATGGGGTGCCTGGCTGGCTGTGAGGCTGGTTAAGGTAGCGGGGGGAGGCAGGGTTTGGGAGACCGGGGGGGACCTATCTGTTGCGGCTCAGGATTGAGGGGCACCGGCTGAGCTGCGTGTGGAGGGAGTTCAGGGCTGCGGGGAGGGGAAGTCAAGGAAAAAAGTGACCTGATCTCTCTCCCCAGGAGAGACTCCATCCCGTGAAGAGAGAGCGACTCTCGGACACCAGCCCAGCCTTCCACATCCTCTCCGTGGAGCCCACGTACGGCCTGGGCGTTCGAAGGGAATCAGGCCAGCACCTGGCGCGCTGCCATCTTTGCTGCTGGGGGCAGGGGCTGGTGGGAGGCAGTGTGGCCTAGGGGGGAGAATGCTGGACCAGCACTTGAGACCCCTGAGTTCTAGGCCTGGCTCTGCCACTGGCCTTCAGTGTGGGTGGGGTAATGTCCCGCTGTGCCTCAGTTTCCCCATTTGTAGAACAGTGGTACTGATGCTGACCTTCTGTGAGCTCGTTGGGGAAGAGGCAGGGATGGTCTCGGGGAGGGATGGGATAGCCTCTCCAGGGCCCTGCCCCTGTAGTGCAGAGGGTCTGGGAGGCTGCCAAACCCTGCTGCTTCAGGGCAGTGCAGCTGTCTAAGGTGGATTAAAGAGGAACTTTTCCCTGGACAGGTTATTCCAGCAGGTGTGTTGAGCAGCTGGGAGACATGGGGCTAGCCTGGCTTTGAGCCCAGTGGCCCCCAGCCCTCTGGTCTGAGCCAGAGCAGCAGGGGGGTGGTGTGCGAGGAATGGGCCCGTGGGGCTGATCCACTCTCCCCGCCCCCCAGGCTGCTCCGGAAGCACCCCCGGCAAAGCACTCAGCCACCTGTCTCCCTCTCCTCCACGCCCCAGGCTGCAGGCATCCTTCACCGTCCGCGAGGACGCCAACCCCAAATCCAGGAAGCAGGGTCTGAAACGATTCCAGGAGAATCCCGAAGCGTACTGGGGCCCTAAAGCCAGAGCGAAAGCAGGGTAAGGGGGGCCAATGGACTGGGCCAAGATTGAGCGGGGAGGGTGTGCGCGCGCGCACTCAGATGCAGGACTCCTGGGTTCTATTCCTGGCTGTGTGGGGTGAGTGGGCCAGTCACTTCCTGTTTCCCTGTCTCAGTTTCCCCAGCTGTAAAGTGGGGCTAGGGCTGGTTGGAGACTTAATGGGTGTGCAAAGTGCATCTGTGACAGGAAGGCACCAGCTGTGACAGCTGCAGGGACGCCTAGTGGGGAGGAGTTAACGCTAGGGGTGGCTGTTCTACCTTGAATCCAACTCCAGGCCAGGACGACTCTGGATCCAGATCAGAGCAAGGTCCCACCCCTGTGTGGCTACTACCCAGCCAGGCTGGTAGCCCTATCCTGCTTCTGTTTGGTCTCTTTAAAGCCTCCAGCCCCTGTGGATACGTGAACGCTCCTCGGGGCCTGCTGTTATACAGCTGCCATGCTCCACCCCAGAGGCAGCTGCTGTCACGCCTGCCTGTAGCTGAGCAAACTCCACTGCTGGGGCTGAAGCTAACCCTGGGGGCTGGGCTGAGCTCACAGCCCTCCTCACCCAGCCCCCTCCTGCCTTTCCAGGGGCGGCATTTCCACCTCCCTGCAGGACAAGAGGAAGCTGCATCAGAACAAGCGGAAGGAGAGAGCGGAGGACGGGGGCCACTTGAAAAACCTCCCCTGCAAGAGGCTCAAGGAGGTGAGGACGGGCTGGGGGGGCTGTGAATCTGGGGGAGGGAGCGCGGGGGTCAGAGGCGTGGCAGCTCCTGGCCCCGGTGCGGCTGTAGTACCCCATAACCCTGACTGTAGCTTCTCTCCCTCTGCTAGGGGAGCGGCGCGGGGGCTGAGAAGTGCTGTCCCTCCCCTGAACCGGCCCCAGAGCCCGTGAAGACCGACAGCCCCCCCCAGTAGCCCGGCCCCGGGCAGGAACAGAGGCTATGGGGCTTTATTTTTTAGTTCGGCGAAGGCGCAAGCGTTTTGTTTTAAGACTGACGGTCTCCCACACCCGGCCATTAAAACAAGGGTGTCTCCTTTTTACATATAAGCCCAGACTCGTGTCATGCTTCTGTGTGAGGCACCCACAGGGGAGCTCAGCCCCCCCCCTTCCCAAAGCAGGCACCGAGGGGAAGGCAGGGCTGTGCCCTGAGCCCCCCAGCCTGGCAAATCATCTTCCCTGCCTGGGCTGAGGAAGGGTCCCATAGCCACAGCCCGGCTGGATGCCAGGCAGGATGGTGGAGCTGCTCTGCCTCAGTTTCCCCACAGGCAATTGATCAGGCGTGGGGGGGGGGGGAAGAGTCGGGACTCCTGGGTTCTACATGCAGCTCTGCCCCTGCCCAGATGTGTCCCCTCTGCCTGCATCCCCCGAGCAGGACTCCACCACGAGCTCCTAGACTGAGGTCCTTGTTTATTAACAGCGGCACTTAGACCCACACTACCCCAGCCTCAGGCTGAAGGGGCAGGTGGGTAGAAATCAGAGGCTGTGCTGAGGAGTTGTGGGGGGGCTGGACTCTGCCCCCTTCTCCCCCAAAGCTGGCACTGCCTTAAAGCAGGGCCTGACAGGTGCAAGGTTGGCTCGTGCTGGGTCGCTTTCCAAGGCAAGTCACTTCCAAGCCTCCCAACAGCCAGGATATGCCCCCCCCAGCTCCCCCTCATTCCCACCAGTCAAGTTCTCAGGTGGGCAGGGCCCCACTTGGCTGAGGTGGGGGGGGGGGGGAGCAGTTCAGGGCTCCACCTGGACGGCTTGATCCTGGGACGGAGGTGGGGGGCTGGCTTCCCCTACAGCTCCGCCTGGCCCCCACTGGGGCCCCTGTACTGGATGGTGGCCAGGAAGGTGCGAATCTCCATGGGCTGCAGCGTGACTCCCAGCGGGTTAAGCCGAGGGTAGGGCTGGCGCTTTGCTGCACCTGGGGGAGGAAGCCAGGGGTTAAGGGCCCGGGGGCCAGCAGAGGGGCCCTGGGCCTAGAGGCTGCCAGCTTTTCCACGGGAGGGTGGACACAACCCTCCCCTGTGTCTGTGAGCCCCCCCCACCCCATGAGTACAGCTGAGGAGCCCACCCACACTAGCCTCCCCCACCCCACAAGGGGCCAATGTGCCAGCTGCCCACCCTCCCCTAGGTAAGGGGGCAGGCGCTGGCTGCGCTGTGCTGTGGAGGGGGTGGGGGGGGAACACTGCTCCATGCTCTAGTGCTGGGGGGGGAACCTACCTGTGGCTGGCCTCCAGTTGAGCCGGTTCATGGCCTCTCGCTTCTGGTTGGCCACCAGGTTCATCTCCTGCAGGGAGGTGATGGTGAAGGAGGAGAACAGGTGCTGGGGGGGTGGGGAGAGAGACATGGTCAGCAACTTCCTCTGGTGAACCCTGCCCCCTGCTGGCCACCCCCAGACCTGCAGGGGCGTAGGTGGCAGCAGCTCCACACCCCACCCACCCCACCACAGGGGACTCCCACAGTCTGGTGTGAAAACAGGATTCTGTGCTGGCCGTCCTCCGCCTCTGGGTGGGGCTGCTCATTTGTGCTCCACCCCACAGCTGGCTGCATTTCAGTGCCAGGAAGGGCAGCCCTGTGGAGACAGCAGCACCCACCTCTGGGGGGCAGGGGTTAGCATCAAGTGGGTGAGGGACCCCTACATCAAACAGCTGCTACACCTCGTGTCTAAGGATCCCTTTCCCCGTGTGGATGTGAAGCCATTTCTGGTGGGGGACAGGGCAGCTGTTTTACACAAGTTATACTGGTGTGATGCTAAGATCCACCCCAGAGGTGGCTGCATTGCAGCACCAGGCAAGGGAGCCTGAGCCTGTCAAGTGCTTTAGATGAAAAATCCTCCAGGCCAGTGGCTCAGCAAGTCCCTACGCTGCAGCCCAGCCCAGCCCCTGCTGCTGGCTGTCGGGTACCTACCAGCAGGTCGACAGTGATGGGCTGGGAGCCGTTGGCGCTCTCCCCTCTCTCAAACTGGTGCTCCAGGCGGATGAGGACGGAGCTGGGGTCCCACTGGGCCAGCGTCAGGAGATGGATGGAGGGGGGAAGCGCTTGCTTCAGAGCCGAGAACTGGGGAGGAAGGGGAGACGCGGCGTCAGGCTGCCAGAACAGCACCACCCAAGGGAAAGTTTTGGCAAACTAGAAAAGTCACCACCCAACCCTGAACTAGTTCAGTTCCCCAGGCTGCCCCGATGCCTGCAGGGCAGCACAGGGTGGATACAACCTGCTCCCCTTCTCCTCCAGGGGCTGGCCTGGGGCTCCCAGCAGGCAACAGTGTCCCCCTACCACTGAGGGAAGGGGGGTACAGGGGGAGCCCTGCTTTCAGCAGAGAGCAGCTGCCTCGTCACAACCCCTTAGTTTACTTGAGCCCTCAATTTTCTGTTGAAGAGCAGCTTGGACAGAACATGGGGTGATCGTCCCAGCTGCCCTCACGAGTGAGTCACCCCAGCGCAGGTTTCACAGGGGGCATAGCCCCATTTGTGGAAGGGGGTCATGCGTCACCCCCATCCCCTGAGCAGGGAGCACAGGGCCATCAGCTCTAGCCCTTTTCATTAGCAGATCTCAAAGCATTTTACACAAGTCAGGCTCATTAGCCCCATTTTACAGATGGGAAAACTGAGGCACCGAGGGGGGCAGGGACTTGCCCCAGGTCACTAGCAGAGCTGGCAATAGAAGCCAGGCCCCTCAGTGCGCTACCCACTAGACAACACTGCACAATCCCTTCCAGGCAGCACCGATTGAAAACAGGTCCCTGGAGTAGAGCTGGGGAGGGGGGATTTAACAAGCTTTGTTTTCACATAGTGAGTTGTTTAGCTAGGGATGGCTACTGCCAACTTAGCAAAGGGGGGAGAGGAGTTTAAAATCCAATTATATTTAAATATCGCTGACTTAACCCTAAGTCCTGGCCAGGAAGAGGGCGAATCCCCCTCCCCCATCTGAAATTTTCCCAGGGGAAAAAACTGGAGTCGTCCTCCCCCAAAAAGGGATTTTGCCCCCAGCAATTTTCCTGCCTGAATTTAACCTAATGAGCAGAGAGGAGGCACCCACTCCACATGGGGGGTGCTTGGCCATGATGGGGTTAACCTATAGTTCCCCATAGCCTGCCCCCGGGGTTTTGGGGAGGGGGAGAGGTACGGCGATCAGAAAGACAAGGATTTCCCTCCTTGTCCAGCCCAAGGAGCCCTGCCCTGGAGGGAGGTGAGGTGGGAGCCGAATCTGTGTCGAGCAGGGCTGAGACCCCCACACTCGTTTCACAAGTGGGTGAGGCAGTGGGGAACAAGCAGCCCCTGGCAGGATTCAAACCAGCGACCCAGCAGCTCACCGTCCCCCTCCCTAAAGCCCAGAGCCCTGCCCAGGCACCTGCTTGAGGCTGCGCTGCCCCCGGTGGAAGGAAGGGCCCCCGCCAGGGGCCAGGACCAGCTGGGGCGCCATGAACTCCTGCTGGGCCTGCAGCCGGTGCCGATCAGCCGAAGACTCCACCATGTCCAGGAAGACGAGGTGCCGGCCCCTCACCACCAGGCCGTCGTCGTAGACCCCCGGCTCCAGCAGGGGCTCCCCCACCCCGCGGTTGTCGTCGTAGAGCAGCCGCCGATGCACCTGGCCGCAGGGAGGGAATGTCAGAGCGGCTGCTGCACTGGGGGCTGAGAGCGCCCCCTGCTGGACAGCCCTGGGCACCGCACGCTGCAAGGGATCGCAGTGCTAAGGGCGCCACCTGCTGGTGCAGCCCTGCTTCTGCAGGATGGGGAGGATACACAGGCCCAGAACAGAGGGGGGTGGTGGTGTTGGGGTGGGGCTTGGGGGGGGATTGGAGTCCATCCTATCTCCTCCCCCTCCACCTCTGCAGGGGGGTGTGAGAGGGAGGAGCCCAGGGCAGGATTCCCCCCTGCCCCCATCTCTCACCATGAGCTCCACAGAGCCATCGGCCACACTGCTGCCCCCCTGCGAGCGATCGGTCAGCACCGTCAGCTGGAACTTCTTGTTCTAGAGAGAAGAGGGAGCCCAGAGCTAACCGAGCGGGCGAGGCCCTGCCGGGCAGGGTCACTCACCCGCTCCCTCCAGCAGGAGGCAATGGGAGCAGCCCCCCCACCTCCCCCCCCAAAGCAGCGCTCCTGCTCTTCCATCCTCTTGTGCCTGCCTGCAGCTTCCTGACCCCTTCCAGGGCTGCATTCCCCGTCCCTGTTGCTGGGGGGGGGGGGGGGGAGGGCAGAAACCGGGGGGCCGGGGGGGGGGGCGTGGGGGGGGGGGGGGGGGGAATTAAGAGAGTGGCAGGTGGGGCTGCGTTTCTTCCTTCTGGAATAGCCTCCCTCGTGTGTGTCTGCAGCAGCACCTCCTGCGACACTATGCTCCATATTCCTCATAGTGATATTTCCATATATGATTGTGGCATAATTGTGATGCATTTTGCACAAGATGGGTCATATGAAGTGTCCTTGGAACAGTGCTGATTTGCTGAATATGATTATCCCCTTGGGTTGCATGGATCATGTTTGTATCTGAAGTTATAAATACTGGCTGGGTGTATTTCAGATGCGCTTAGTCTGAGGCTGTGTCTACACTACGCGCCTTCGAGCGACCCAGCCGTGCCGCTAAACGGCGCGCAGCGTAGCTGCTGTTTGTTGGCAGGAGAGAGCTCTCCCACCGACACAAATCTTCCACCCCCAACAAGCGGCGGTAGCTGTGTTGGCAGGCGAGCGCTCCTGCCGCCAAAGCTGTTCACACCAGCACTTTTCCTCGGCAAAACATTTGTCGTTCGGGGGGGGAGGGGTGGTTTTTTTCACACCCCTGAATGACAAAAAGTTTTGCTGACGAAAGTCCAGTGTAGACAAAGCCCAGGTGACACCCACAGGCAGTCTTTCGGGTACAACAGTGAAGAAGCTAGACAGGGCTGATGCACTTTGAACGGGTTTGGCCTGCCTGTAAACGTTTCAACCAGCCTGTAAGGAACGGCTGCTGTGACCCAGCCAGGGCATGAACCCAGACCATGTGATACTGGACTCCATGTTGGGTACCTGTAGCTTTCCACAAACTAGGTGGGAACTGGTTTTGGA